ATATATATATATATATATATATATATGAGGGACGTTCAAGTCAAACCGGGACTTTTAACTTTATGAGCAGAAGAAGAGATCCTGAGTGAATCTTATTAATCATGCTCATTAGTTACAAGTGTCTTCTAACGCCGTACGGTGGCGTTACTGTCGCGGGCCATACGAATTACTTTTTAAGCAATATGACGTGCAATCATGCCAGTTCAAAAATTGAACTGCGTGTTGTAAGATCTGTTTTTTATAGCTGAACTGGCTACACTAGTTCAGAGTTTATCTTTCTTCTTTCAATGTAGAAAGAGAAAGATAAACTGCGAACTAGTGCAACAGTTCAGCTATAAAAAACAGGCCTGTAATGAAATTTCTCGTGAACAAAGGCGTAAAACCTAGTGAAATTCACAGAAGACTTCAAGCACAGACGGAGATCAGACTCTTAGCCGCAGTAAAACATTTAAATGATGCCAACGTTTTAAGGACGTAAATCAGTGAGTGACGATCCCGGCCGAGGCAGATCGGTGACCACGATTTACGGTCGTCCTTAAAATGTTGGCACCGTTCAAATATTTCACTGCGGCTAATTAAGTCTGATCTCCGTAATGTGCTTGAAGTTTTCTGTGAATTTCACTAGGTTTTACGCCTTCGTTCACGAGAAATTTCATTACAACACGCTGTTCAGTTTTTGAACTAGCATGGTTGCGCGCTATGTTGCTTAAAAAGTAATTCGCGTGACCCGCGACATTAACGCCACTATACGGCGTTAGAAGACACTTGTAACTAATCAGCATAATTAATAAAATCAAAAATTCAATCAGGATATCTTTTTCTGTTCATAAAATTAAAAGTCCCGGTTTGACTTAAACGCCCCTCGTATATATTGTATATAATACACACATCATTTTTTTAAATTATATATAATACTTGTTAGTATAATAAGTTATTTAAATTTAATGGTTTTAAGATTAAATCACATTTTACAAATAAATCTTAGTGGAAGATACTCTAATTTAAAGCTTGTTGCAGCCCGCTGCAGCGGAGCAGCGTCCCGCCGCCGTCACAAGGCGCAGGTTCACGTCCTTTTTGCCGAGCCGCCAGCCACGCTATCGTGAGCGAGACCGAGATCTCCGGGAGGCCCGAGAGTAGATCGCGTATTTTATGCTAATTAGTTGGAAATTGCATGTAATACGGCGTCTCACCGGACGCAAGGAGCAACGGCGGAAAGGATTCAAGGCCACCGGCAGAGGAAAGGACTTGGAGTACAAGCGACCTGGCGCAGGAGCTAAGGGGGCACGCACCGGGCACGTGACGATCAGGCGACGGAGTGCGCACACGCTGAGCGCGTGACCACGCGCAAGGATACGAGAGCCGCTAGGGGCGCGGCCAGGAAGGCTGGCGCAGGAGCTGAGGTCCGCGAAGGGCGATACGGCCGGCGATTTCCCCAGGGTCCGGGGCCATCGCCGAGAGCTGCCGGGGCGAGATAGCCAAATCGTCCCGGATCTAAGGGCGAAGAACGCGTCCATCCGATGCCACGCCGCCACATCCAGGAAATAGGGCGGCCTCGCGAGGACGCGAGGCGCCCGCATGAAGAATTCGCCAAATACGCCCGTGCCACAGCAGGACCCCCACGGCGCGCCGTGATTGGTCGCGACCGTGTGCGCCGCTACGTTGCGCACCCACAGGCAGGGAGTGCAGGCATCGATCGCGTATCGAACGCGATCTACGCCGCTTTTGCGTGCGGACCCCGCTAGCGTGCGGACGACTGAGCAAGCGAGCGAGCAAGATCGTGAGCGAGCAAGAGAGAGAGCGATAGAGACGTGCTGCCTGTCGGAGGAACCCCTGGAGGCTACCCGAGGAGAAGATCGTGCCGATGAGGTGACCCTCTGTTTCCGAGCGCTGTAAAGCCACGGGCAGGTCGCGGATCCCATTCGCACTCTGCGGACGGAAACGCCATTTTCGTGTTCGAGTCTCGTCGCGTGCGCCCTTTTGGCGACGCGCGTTTCGTAGTATTTAGTTGCCGGCGTCCGTCCCCAAGTACGAGGGTTCCCACAGGAATCTGCCGTGGGCTACCGGAAGTGTCCTGAGTCGCGTATCGAGCCGCCCGGAGATCGCCCCCGCGAATATGCCGCAAAGTCCTCGTGCTCGAGTGCGCGAGTTTATTGTAAGTGCATGTGTCCGCAAATTCGCGAGTACCTAGCGTCTTTGCGTATTTCTATCGTGCGTGTGATTCCGTTGTGCCTCGACGCAAGTAATTCATTGTTCGTTTTTCGTTTCCGTACGTTTGTCCGTCTTGCGAGCCTGTTATTGAGACTACTCAGTGCGTGTGTTCTTGACTGTTATCGGTGCCCGCGTCGTACCGAGATAGATTCTTTTATCGTACTCAACGACCGTATCGTTCTGATCGCGTTTTTGTTTACCGGTCCGATTTATATAATTTAGCTCCGACGGAGTAGATTAAGTTGTGCATCGCGCTATTTCCGGTTGCCGATCCGGGTGTGCGCGTGCGCCCGTTAACCACGTCGATGTGCGGGCCAACATATTCCTCTGCGACCGAGGTATCGGGCTGAGCGTACTATTGTTACTGCGTTTTCGTTTGCCAGAATTGTTTCTTTTTAAAGAATCTACTAAATTTTTTTCGGTTGCATATCGCCCAGTCCATTCTTTTTTTTATCTTTTTTTTGTTACTTATCTATTTTTGAGCATTTAATACCGTACCAAGCGTTTATTAAAGTGTTTTTTCTTACTTTACTTTTGGCGTACGCATTCTTTCGCCCGCTCACCACCATCCCGTCAAAAGTCTCATAACTCGTCCTTCGTTTCCGCCTTGCCTCTCTGCCGTTAGGTAGAGCCGGCCGGCCCTCGCGCGATCGACCTCGGGAGAAGCATTCGTTTTGGGATCTTGGGTATCGTCGAGTCCAAGTATCTCTCTCGCGCGTTGTCGCGTTTGCCTTGAGTGTCGCGAACGACGTTGCCGTAGAGCCCGTCTGGCGCCCAACTCTCGCGTCGCTACCCCGTGTCGGTCGCCGGAGGAACCTGCATAAGAGGGCTAACACCTTCCCTCCCAAAATCGCTTGCGATTTCCCGTTCCGGTTTTTGATCCGCGCTCGCGCGAACCGCGAACCTCGCCGAGCGCGTGACAAGCTATAAGTCACAATACTGATCAAATTTCGAATTTGCCGCTTAATGCTGATGCAGTCTGGATGCAATTTCTGATTGGTTGTCTGAAGTTATATGCGCGTAAGCATATCCTTGTATTTATACCATGACTGCGCAGTGGTCTACCACCAGACGAGCATACCCTTGTTTTTATACTATGATAGTAACCACAGATTTCAATATATAAATCGCTAACATGCTATAGTTTGGTACCAGTTGAATTGAAGCCAGACGCCATATTTATCTGGTAATCATATACGGTGCTTTATGAAATAGTGTTAGTGTACATTTAATAATATAAGTTAAAATTTTGACATTCTGAAATGTAACTCATTACTGAATAAAGATGGCTACTATCCCTTCTCCTGAAGTACTTGGCTTCACTTCATTTCTCGGAGCTAGCGATCTATGATATAAATCTGTGGTAGTAACATATTAGTCTTGTTTTTCTTGTTTCAATATCACAGAACATATATCTAAGGTCAATATGATGTCAGAAAATGACATCCGGTGGATGTGACATATCGACGTCATTTTCGGATCTCGGGCAACCAATTTCGGTCCAATTTATGACGTCGCGCCATTGGTCATTTTATGATCAAAATTTGTCGTTGTTTTGACATCAGTTTGCTACTTGGGTTTAAACATTTTGTAAAATCATTTTTCAATAAGTAATGTAAAACTGTCAATTATAATAGGGCGAGAAAATTTCGATATTTCCATTTTTAATATTCGAAAATATTCTCCAAATAAAGAATTAAAAAATGTTTATGTTTATTCTGGCGTTACATTAGCGTAATACGATGCCAATCGTACATTTCTATTATCAATTATTTCGATCGCGCATAGCACACAAAAAAGTATTACAAAATCAATTCTTGCATTAATGTATTCACGTACTCGCGTTGCGTTGTATATCAATGCGCAAAGAAATAAGGCGTTGGTGACAATGTGCCAAAACACAATGGGTCCATAGACGTGTTCCAATATATCGCGACATCGTAGTAGTCTCTGATGCTTCGCTACACAGTTCCTCAGCAGGTCCGAAAATTTTTCGGCGGGTAGAGGATTCGTGAGCCTAAAGATCATGGCGCGCAGTGTTGAGGTGAACTGACAGACATAAAAGCCAAAAATGCTATCGACACTGCACGTTATAATGCTGCAGATTAACGCTAGCATTATCTCAAAAAAAAAGTGAAAATGATACAAAAAGTTATCGGGTACAGTCCAGAAATGTCCAAATCCTCTGCTAACTGGCAGGGTGTAGTTCGTAGTTAAATGACGTTGACAGAGACCGCGAATTACGAAGATATACGGTGGTGCAACATATGCCAGGACCACTGTTTCTAAAACGATGAAATATGTGTACGTCAGGGTGTATATTCTACGCAGGGGCGAAAATATTATCGTCCGAATTTTCTCGTTCTGCTTAAGTTCCTCTTCGAAAAGATCGTTCAGTGTCTGGTGATAATTTTTTAGAGAGTCGCGATTGATCACAAAGATTGTTACCTTAAAAAAGACCAGTGATGAATATTTCTTTTTTGCGCGAAATAATAATATTATTCACAAATTAAGATGACATGTTTAATATCATGAATTTTATTTTGTAATATTACAATTTAAAATAAAGTTTCTTTCTCCTCGCGAAAAATAGAATGTTACAACGAAATGTTTATTAGAAAACTTAATCGATACATTAGCATACAAATATGTTAACTTTATTTTTTAACAAAATGTGTTTTTTTGCGAAACATCAGTTTGCTTAAAAATTTAGTTAAAAATCTTTAACGCGTATAAAATACATAAAAATGCAAAGAAAAATTTATTTTTAAAATTAGCTTAAGGACATAATTTTGCAATCTATTTGGTTTGCCGAAGTTTATCGTGCAAATATATCTTTACATATATTAAAGTATTTTATTGTATACATGTAAAATATTTTTTTGATAATGTTCTTTTATACATATAATAAGATTCTAGACTGTACCTTGAGAACGGCGCTAGCTCCACCTAGTGCTCCAGCTATGCATTTAACCATATTCTCCAAGTTATGTCTAAGTATATAACTCATATGCACAAATATCGATGCATAACAGACCATCATTAAAAATGTGAAGACTGGCAAGAAGTACGTGGTTTTACCGAATTTTGTGGGCATATACCAACAACCAGAGATGGTAAGCAGAGTTCGAAGAAAACGTTGGTATATGCGATATGCTTGCAACTGTTTATCAGTCATCGTTACATATACATTGAATAATTCAAAGAGACGTCGTTGGAAAGATTTCAGAAACTGGAAAAACTTAATTTTTTTAATAATTAAGATGAGAAAACGCCAACACTGTCATAACGGATCATCCCAGATAGCCAAGCGTGTCTATGCAAAATCGCACAATGCAATGCTTACTTATGATGTTGGCAACTTGCCGTATGTTTGTCATTAACGACTTCAAATTAATATACGTTGAAGCAACACGCAGTCAACATTGTATACAGGGTGTACCCGTATAAGTGGCCACCCCTTTTTATCTTGTAAACTAATAGAGATAGACCCAATAAATATACCCAGCAAACATAGTGACGTCAAAATGACGTCAAAAATTGGTGATTACTGGTCAAGTGACGTCAGATGACCAAAAATAATCGTATATAAAACGTCTTTTTTATGACATCTTAATAACGTTGTTTAAAAACGTCATAATATCGTTAATTTTTAGTCATTTCTATAGACGAACTTGTAAAATAATTAAAAATATAAAAATATTAATT